GACTAAATATAGACATTGGATTTATGGTACATTATAACCTGCCTGCCATCTGATAACCCCAGATGACCTCATAGAACTACAAAGAAAGAAGCATCTGTTACTTTAAAACAAAGTGTAAATTTAACCCAGATATACCAAAATTAAACAGACAGGTTTTTATAGTGGTATTACTAGACAAATAACAAAAGTCAGTATAAATTCATTGTGTGTACTGATTATGGTAATGAGGATATACAGAAAGTTATCGTATAAAAAATAGATATTCCCCGAGTCAACCACAACATGAAAGCTCTTCTTCCAGATATATTGTAGATGTCTACAATCACCACACAGAAACCTACTTTCTCTTTTGTTCAAGAACTACTGGCCAAATTATTTTTGTCAGCATTCTCAATGCTTTTTTGTTAAGTTTAGCATTATGAATCCACAACATGGATACTAAATGCATACATACAGGCCAGTTTCCTTAGTAATGGCCTCCATTTAAAGCTATAAATCCCCTGCATGAACATTGCATAGTGTAGTGCCTACATGTACAAAATCCACTCTTATGACTTCACAACTTCACAGTTCCTCACAATCACAACATTAAAGTCCTTGATCTTCACAAACCATCTTGGAATTCAATCATTACTATCTGAACAAGTTATATTCTTTAAAACACCATTTATTAGCATTCAGCAGTAGAAAACCTCTGAATACTAAACATTTATGTGGTGAACTAAGGAGAGAACTATGTATGAAACAAACAAGTAACAGATAACTCTCCAGAGATTAGGGTGGTTGGATGGCATAATCTGGGACGAAACTCTTTTGATATGGAAAAAAGAGCAGGTCCTCTCATTATTAGTTTATCTTGTTCCTAGTATATCCTGTGTGCAAGAAACTCTGTAAAGAGCAACTTTTCTGAAGATACTTCAGAAATTCTTCCTCAGGACCTAACCATACCAACAAACTGTACAGGCAAGCCAAGCAGATCATTAAAATAAAAGAACCCTTTCAAAACTCATACAATATTTCACATGGGAGATTGATGAAGGATTCAATCAATGCATCTCTAAGCTCCGTCTTGGTCTTTAAACACAGGCAATTCTATATTCCTAAATATGATAGTTTCTTGCTTTTGGTCTAATTCAACCAGTGCAGTTAATAAGTAAAATAAAACACTGCAAAGCACTACACTGTTAATTTATGATTGCAAAAACTGTTTTTCCTTAGTTCGGTGTCACTTGAAAGGAAAAACTCCATTCGTCATAGAGAATGAAAACCAGGATAGAGCAAGATTTTTGTTCCCTCTCTAAGGAATAGTAGGTGGAGTTATATAAACAACAGAGCAATGATCAAAGAGAAATCTTGGGACTGCAACATACTAGCATATTAAAGAAACAGAGCCTTTTATCTATCACGGAGGAAGGAAGTAGAGCATCGAGACGAGTGCAACATATACCATTAAAAATCGAAAACCAAGTGAGTAACAGAAGAGAGAATGCTATTAATCAAAGTTTAAATTTTCCTTTGCTCTGTTAAAATGACAAAAAGAAATGCAATGCTTGGTGTTGAGATTTCACTTATTTTGGAAAGCTAGGTAAATTGCTCCATTATAAGCCATATTTTTTCCCTGAATATAATGAAACAAAGCACTGTAGCATGGCACTTCATTTTTATTCATTGCTAAGCAAATGAAGACAAGGCCTACCTTGTCTTCCACTCTGTTCAACCTGGCACCAACTGTGTTATTCCCTCGATCCTTGCTTTTTTCTGTGAAGCAAGAAAAGTTTTCAAATGCATATACAGGGATATAACCATAGCATGTAGCATTAAGATACAACAGAGAGCCAGTAGCTAGCCCATCAACACAGTGTAATGGCTGAAAGCTTTGTTTCAAAACAGCAGCTTTCTTTTCTTACTAATCATTAGGCCAAGCCATGCCTCTTAATAGCCTTGAAATCTAAGGCACTTTCCATCTTATTTTTATACTTCTGGGTAGAAGATTTAGCTGTTTCTAATTGGTTTTTAAGTTTTTAATTGCAGTTTTTAAATGATCTAGAACCATGTAATGCTCTAGAGCCAGCTTGGCCGAGGTTTGATTTTTATTTTTTCTAGAAATGAGAAACCAGAAATGAAATGAATAGTCAAGAGAGTATATTTATATATGTATATGTAGCAGGTCTAGCACCAAGGGTGGCTGTTGCAATCCCTGGGGGCCATCCAAAACCTGCCTCACTCCAGCTCCTTGGTATATTCCCCCAATTATTTCATCTGTCACACCTTGATGTATATGAATTGGCAGGCTGCCCCTGAATTCTGGGGTGATCCTGGTTGCCTCTACTTGACCTAGCCAAATTCTTAGTTCTGCTGTTGCTCTGTGGTCCCTTACTCTGCCACCCAATTATTCTATGCCCAACTGGCCCTTTCTAAGACCTGCAATTACCACCTGGCCCTTTCTTTACCTACTGGCCCTTTCTGTGCCTCAAGGCACTGAATTGCTTTAATGGTATTAATCACAGCCTCCAGCCTCCCCCATAACCATGCCCATGCCTCACAGATGTTGATTACCATCAGTTAATACCTCCAGCCCCTCAGCCACTCATTCCTTTGTTTGGGTGCCTTGTTTGTCAGCCTTTATGACCTTGCCCCCTTTTTCTGGCTGTCATCTTCAGCCCCAACCCTCTCAGCCTCAGCCCTTACTGTGGCCTGCTCAGCCTCAGCCTCCGCTCAGCCACGGCCATGGCACAATCAGCCTCAGTATGGTCACACCTCTGTTCAGTACAGCACTTGAAACCCAGAGTGCCCCCAGGAACCGTGTCACGTGGCCTCCCGTCTATCCCTAGAACCACAACCTGGTCCTCAGTCTTTACCAGCCTACAATAATCCCACCATCACCAATTGCTGTTCAGTTCCTCTCTGCAGGGTCTCCCAGGCTCCTATTCTGTTAGGCTCTTCCTTTCCCAGCACTGGCCCTACTCAGTTACCATAATCTCTGACCCCTGTGCTAGCAACTCCTTCCCCTAGCACAGCCTGGGCCAGACTGCTCACTGTCTCAGGAGCTGATCTTATATATTTTGGGGATCCACATCTTTTGGTCAGGGCATCCCCTGACCAGCTACAGGTGTCTTCCCTGAGCGTAATGAACAGCCTGCCCTCAGCTGCTGCAGTTTGCCTTTCTACTTTGCTCTGCCTTACTGTTTTGCAGTTGGCTACCACACAGCTACCTTGTAGTCTTGTAGCCTCTATCTTCTGGCTTCCCCTGGCTGCTTATTTTCCTGTGGCTATCCCTGGTCTCAGCTGCCTACTTCAAATTGCAGGCTTCTAATGTTGCCTTCTCATTGTCTAAGTGGTAGAGATTACAGGACCCTGCTACAGTACAATAACATCTCCAAATAAAATACTACTAATGCATGGCATTTTGGTTGTGATTTTCATCTGTTTGAAGATTTCAAAATACTATGTGAATATGGTTAATTTCAGTTTCACAGCCTTGCTGTGAGTACACTCCCCATTTTACAGAAGAGTGCTGAGGCACAGAGACATCAGAGCTGACATTTTCAAAAAAGGTTGCCTACAAGTAGGTATGTAAATAAAAGAGGCCAATTTTCAAAGGCCCTGAACTTCATATCATAGCTTTTAAAATTATCACCCAGAATGGAAAGTATTGTTATGAATATTTTCCATAATAACATATTCTAATCTGCTTTGCTCTTGGCATGCTTCTTAAACCTAGGTTTTAAAGTTTATTCTAACCTATCAATGGGTCTAGCCTAAAGATCACGACAGGGGATTAAGAGTCAGGTCTCCTGGGTTCTATTCCTCGGGTCACTCACTAACGCATCCTGCTACTTTGCTCAGCTCTTCCAAGTCTTTCTATGTTTCATACATGTCAACTGAAGTATACTGATAGACGGTTTATTTTTCTGAGTGCATGATACATAAAAGTATCTGAACACCTGACTAATAATTCTTAAGTTTCTTCATTTAATCATATACAGCAGGTATTTTCTTAAGTGTGTAACTGACAGACTGCTTATATTTCAGGAATACTATGTTTGCTCACTTACCACACATACCCTTTTTCCCAAAATCAGCCCGCCAGAATTGAGATGCATATTTTAAGCAAGTAAACTGATTTTCTTTGCTGGAATAGAAAGAAGTGTGGAATGGAGCAAGTGGATGCTGTTAACTTATGGCCATCAAGATGGCAACCACTTCTCTCTGCAAACAGCCGAGATGGAAGCCAGTGCCAACCTTCTCACAGCTGCTAGCCTTAAGAGCTACTGAGCTGGCTGAGGGGGAGTGAGCTGCTGCATGCAGTCGGTAGTATTTAAATGAGGCCTGTGGTATGAAAGCAACACTACTAATTTACAGGAACCTATCTAAAGAACTATTCACAGTAAAAGAAGTAGTAGTCTTAGTAGTGCCCTTGCAAGGGTCTGGGGCCTAGCCTTATTGCTGTTCTGCCACACCTGAAAATTCCTGATGCCTCACCCAGACCATATCCTGAGCTGCCATGCTTCCCGGACAGTGTCACACACAGAGCCAGGAATCTTGAAAAGTCTTTTTTTCCCTATATTCTGCCTTCCAAAAACAACATCCAGGTTTTATTTGGAGGTATTTGGTATGTGAGAAAATATGGTATACCAACTTATGACATGGTAACTTACCTGAGACAGAAATAAAGAGAGATGGCTTCCCTATAGATTGGTCGAGCCTGGAAATTGAAAGACATTATATTGTCAGTAAAAGAAGAAAAGCGTTCCTCAGATTTAAAGATATACATTCTGGGGTCATTATGAAGAACCTTTCTCCAAGTAGCACACTGTAAAGTTCAAGTTGTTCTACTTCACAGTACAAATTAAGTATTAATCTGAACCAAGGCTGCCTCTGGAAATTGAAAACCATCAGCTCTATATGGCTAGGTTAGTGTTTTAGCCATTTTATAGGTTTTAGTGACCACTAATGT